AAAGCAAGTACTGAAATTTGGATTTGTTTTCCTCATTTCTGCTCCATCTTATAATCAGGGTCAATTCCCCCTAAGAGTTTCATATTAAAACAGTATCTGTTGGCCTTTAATCAGCACATACATGCCAAAAAAAAAAAAAAAAAACACCTCAAGTATTTCAAAGTTCAAACTATACAATTATACATATTAGCTTTACTAATACTAAAAATCTTTAAACAAATCTTAGTAACTTACAGCTGAAATTAAACACAAAACGTTCCGAGCAAAAATTTGCCTCATATATGAGAGACAGTATTAAGTAGTGGTGAGACCGTAGGCTCTGCAATCAGCTTGATTTCAAATCACAGCTCTGCCACTTGCTAGCACTATCACTGAGAAAGTTCTTTCTAGTCTAAGTATCCTCACATACTTTAATGGAATTAACAGTTTAACACTTATTTCACAGTTTGCTGAGAGGATTAAACAAATCAACACGTGTGTGTGTCAGTCGGTCAGTCGTGTCCAACTCGCAGCCACTCCATAGACTGTAGCCCACCAGGCTCCTCGGTTCACAGGAATTCCCAGGCAAGGACACTGCAGTGGGAAGCCATTCCCTTCTCCAGGGGATCTTCCCCACCCAGGGATCAAACCCCAGTCTCCCGCATTGCAGGTGGATTCTTTACCACTGAGCCACCAGGGACGCCCAGCTGGTCTCAAACTGAAGGATTAACACTTTTAAGGTCTACTTTCTGTGAAGATTTAGAAAAATCCAATTTTATGTATTTGAGCTGTTTACTTTCTTAGTCAAACAACAGGATAGTCCAGTTTTTTTAATACGAAATTAGTGCATGAGTATACTTAACTGCACATCATTTTCCCATCAGAATGAATCTTCATAGTACTGAATACTGAGTGGAAATACTCGATATGCCTGAGAGAAGCTTTTAAAAAATACTAACACCTGGGTCCCACTCCCAAAGCTTCTGATTCAATTGGTCTGGGATAGGGTTTGGGCATCAGTGTTTCTAAGAAGCTCCCCAAGTTGAAATATGAATAAGGGCGACAGGCTGCACCACTGTCAGCGTGCTCGCTGTGAAACTGTACTACAGGCACGAGACACGCTACCACAGGGATAACTGAGAGCTCAAGGGAACTCGCTCCACTCTTTCTCACAGCTGCACATGAATCTACAATTATACTGAAAAAACAGTCCGTGTTTTTTTTTAAAGTTCCTCAAGTGACTCTAATCTTGGGACTTCCCTGGGGGTCCACTGGTTAAGTCTCTGTGCTCCCAATGCAGGGGGCCCAGGCTGGATCCCTTCTAAGGGAACTAGACCCCACGTGCTGCAATTAAGAATTCGAATGTGGCAAGTGAAGATCCTGTGTGCCACAACTAAGACCCAGAGCAACTAAATAAATACGTAAAAATAACTCATTATCATCTGCAGCCCCAATTGAGAACCAGTGCCATAAACATTTTCTGACTGATAACATCTTGATTTGTTTGAAGTAGTCAAGTCTTCTAACTTGACCACTAAACAGATATTTGGATATAAATAGAAGAAGGTAGTATTTTTTTTAATAGTTTAATTTTATTGAAGTATAACTTACAAATAAGAAAATATGCCCATTTAACAGTTTGCTATGTCCTAACCCAGGTGTACACTTAAGTAACCATCCTATCCAGAGAACATATCCATCACTCAGAAAAATCCCTCTGGCATTTTTGCAGTCAACTCTCCCTACCTCATTCCAAGAAATCACTGGGACTTTTAAGACAATCTGTTTTGAAGAATGGTAACCCTTAGAAGGAAATTTCAATTTGTCTTCTGAAAGTACATTTGGATCCTCTTTTAGATTAGAGCCTAGGGCAGTGCCCTTACCACTTTGTCCTACGCCTTCAAACATAACTGCTGTATCAACACGGTAAGTGAAGCAAGGTTAGGCAAAAGAATTACTAATTCATTAAGAGTTAGGTTAGTTCAGACTTGAGGGAGGAAATCTAACAAGTCTCATATTAAAATATTTTACCTATTGGCACAGAGATCTTTCTCTTCTTGAAGTCTGGCTTAAACACAAAGCAACCCTACAAAAAAGACAGAGAAAACGGCATAAAGTCCAGGCAGACAAGGAGCAGACAAGTCTGACCAACATCGTATTTAATGAACAAACATCAAAAAAATGTTTTTTAAGGCATTTCTGTAAAGTGCTAAGAAATCATCTTTCTTCAATCTGAATTATAGAAGAAAAATTCTTAAACAACAAGGGAATTATACACTTCTTTCTCCTTCCTCCCATGGGAAGCTCTTCTTTGATTTATACTCTTTGAGACCTAATGTAAGAGACAAAGAAAATAAAAACTGATGAAATTTAAACCCATTAAAGCTCCATTTTTATAAAACCTAGTGAAAAAAGAACAGTAATATGAACATTAAGATGATAAAAAATACGGACACCTTCCCATCTCTAAAGAAATATTCATTATTTAATTAAATTCCAAGTATCTAGAACCTTGGCAGGACACAGACAATTCTGGCTACTAATTCACCTTACATATCTTTCTTCATCTGAAAAAATCCTTATTCATTTATCCATTAAAGTTAGACTCAAATTCACCTGCTTTGGGAACCCTTTCCCAATTTCTCTAATCAGAAGAATTATTCCTTCCCCTAACATCTCACAGTACTTGCATATCTTTATTTTGCTTTGTTTTATTTTCACTCTGTAAGACAGCTATTTATGGGTGTCTCCCCAGTTAGTAAGCGCCTTCAGAGTACAGACTGCATTTATAACTCATAACTGCATTTATAACTCATAATATTTATAACTCATAACTGTCTCCCCAGTGTTTAGGGTAGTGTTAACATATACATTAGGCAATCAGTATACAAAAATGGATGAATGCTTGTCAAATAATTTTTTTGGTGATTCCCTAGCTACACTGAGTTTCATATTATTTGACTAGTGATACGCAGGCCCCAAGCTGCTGGTCCTATGTTTGTTCTACAATCCTAAAGCTGTATCATGGACAGCTTCTTCAAGATTTCCATTTCTATGAAAAATGAAAGAAATATACCTAGGAAAAGCCATCTCAGGATAGATCCAAGGACTGCTGTACAAACATAAACTGGCCATGTGAATTGTTGAGTCTCTAAGTTGTATCTGACTCTTTTACGACTCCATGGACAGTAGCCTGCCAGGCTCCTCTGTTTCATAGGATTTCCCAGACAAGAATACTGGAGTGGGTTGCCATTTCCTTCTCCAGGGGATCTTCCCGACCCAAGGATTGAACCCATGTCTCCTGCATTAGCAGGCAGATTCTTTACCACTGAGCTACCTAGGAAGCAGGGTCCAAAATAAGAATTGTGTCTTGAACAATTGTATCTGCAACTAATGGAACGATTTAAAATACACAAGTATTTTTAATATTTTGTGTTTTTTTTTTTAAGAAAAATCTTTTGGTGCCATGGCAAGCTTGTCACTGCCTCCTTTCTATAGCCACCTGCGATTTGGGGGCAGGAAAAGTAACTATGAAGGAGTGAGATATGAAGAGCCCTAGGAATGGATCCTAATATATGGCAGTGGGAGTAATATCATTGTTCACTTTGAACTACTGATCAAGAAATGGTGCTGGAGATGGAAGAAGACGGGAAGAAAGCCAACAGCCAGAAAACATGACAAGGAAAGAGAAGTTTAAAGAAAAAAGGAAGATGGCAATTCCATAAACCAATGAAACAGTTCTTAAAGATTCTTATTTACACAAGATGTCCTTCATAATTATATCATTACAAGCATCTGTTATGTCATAAATGCTTTCCTGAAAAAAGAAAAAACCATAAACCTCTCACAGTCCTGCAAGATATACAAAAATAGGAAAAGCTTAAGCAACAAAAAGGATTAGGGGACAGACCACACAAAACCTATAGAACCAACAGGAAAGAAATTCAAAAAAGGGGATTTATGTATACTAATAGCTGATTCATTTGTTGTACAAGGACAGGACTCAGCAACTGAACAACAACAGAAACTAACACAACATTTTAAAACAACTATACTCCCAATAAAACTTTTTTAAAACCTATAACTTTATAACCAGGGCAAAATACAAACAGCATCAACCTCCCCCCCCCCAAAAAAATGCTAGCAGCGACAGCTCTTCTGGCGTTTGCATCTAGCATCAGAGTCGCTCAAACTTCAGTACACTTAAATCCTATGGTTTGTAGTTTTTCCCAAATATGTAGTCTTGCAAAGTACTGAGTCTCATAATTTTATTCTAATGTAGTTTTAATCAAAATTAAAAATTAAATCCATGGTATATCCTTCACTAACTTAGTTTCTACGGAAGAAAAGTCTTTGCAACTATATCTGCATTCACAGGTTTATCACATAACTTAACTTTCAGGAGCTTCCAGCTGTACTCCTAATATTACCAAGCGGCACTTAAGTGTCTAAAGATGCACTGAAAGAATCTTCTGTAATGATGAAAATATCTGCGTCTATTTTGTCTACCACTTGTTCCTCGGTACCTAACAGCGTTTGGCGCACAATAAACAAGAGAAGGAAAAAAGAGGGCAGACTAGGGCACATCCTCCCGGGATCCGACCTCCACAAAACAAAACTTAAAACCTCCTCCGAGACGAAACACTAAGGCATTTCGCCGTTTTCGCTCCCCAAGCAAAGTTGGCCTCCGCTAGACGCAGGGCAAAGATGCCTCAGCTCCGCCCGCCGCTCCTTCCCCTCGAGCCAGGACAACTGGACAACGTAACCTCCGATTCATCCCTCCTCCACAAGAGAATGAGGCAGCTATGGAGTCCTAGTGGGCGCCCGCCCCCACATACCTTGGACACCGAAGAGGTGGCCATGGCTCCAGCAACCCGAGGAACGCCAGACGCACTCGGGATTTCCCGCGCTCCCTCGCGGCAGCGGGGCAGAGGTCAGTAGCCGGCCACGCTGCTGCTTGATTGGCTGGCAGCACCCGTCGGGGCGGGCTTCCGGCGCGCGGAGGCGGGGCGTGCAGAGAAGGGAGGAGCGAAGTCCTGGACCCTCCAGCTGGAAGCCGCTTCGTGGAGTAAGACATGGCGTGCGGATTCCGCAGGTCCATCGCCAGTCAGGTACGGGCCCGGGAACTGGCACATGGTGGCCCCCGAGCCACCAAGCCCCTTTCACCGCTGCGAGCCCGCCCCTCGTCGCCGGGAGGCCGCGCGGGTTCTGCTGATACCCTGTTCGTTTTTCCCGCCTGCTTTCGGCTTTCAGGGGGTGCTGGAGCGGCCGAGGCAAGCCGCGTCGAGGGTTGAGCCTGCGGCCCAGATCAGTTTTCAGGGTGAAAAGCCTGGAAAGGCGCACATTGCTTCGCTCGCTGCTTACCGCCCCGCAGCTCACTGTGCTTTACCTGGAAAGAAAGTCAGTGGGCCATGCCTAGACCCTCTAGAAGTCAGTGATCCGTTCTTAGTGTAGTTGATGATGGATCTGAATGTCCGTTTGAAAAGAATTAACTTCAAAACTAGTCATTTCTCTCGCAGTCATTTTGGCTGCCAGTCCTAGCGTTATTTTTGGTAACTCCAAATATAACTCCCTATTTTTCTTGATTCTGAGGCACATTGTTACTGGAAAAGTTTGCCTCTTGAGGGGTGTAGGGGCAAAAGAGGCAGCCAAACCAAAGATGAGAAGGAAGGATTTAAGCACCTCAGACCCAAAGCTGAGAGTAAATGGAATATGGGTTCATTCCTAGCATGGCTCCAGAGTAACTTGAGAAACAGTTGTATAAACAGGTTGCTGCAGTGCAGTATCACTGTATTAAAACCATGTGTGAAATGCTAAGGGAATATGGAGAAGACCTCTTACTGTCAGAGAAGGCTTTGTGGAAAAGGTGTTGTTGCGGAGAGGTTGAGTAGAAGTATACTAACTGAGGAGTGGGATCTTGGTGGGGATAGGATTTTTCATGAAGAGCATGCCCGTGGACGCATGAGAGAGCGTGGCATGCTCATGAAACCACAGTATTTGGGTATGACTGATTCTTCAGGGTTTACCTCTGATGCCTACTTCAGCAAGTTCTTTTGATTCTGTTTTCAAAATAATATCTTGAATTCATCCACTATTCTCCCATTGCTGCTGTTCCTTCTTTCCCCGACCCGAAGCCAAACTACCATTGTCACCTGCATCAGCTACTTACAGCCGCATTCTGCTGGGTCTTTCTGTCTCCATTCTTGCCCTCTCTCCAATCCATTCTCTGTAGCAACAAAAGTGACTTCTAGAACATAAATCAGATCACTTAGCTGTTTAAAAAACTACACAAACTCACTGTCAGAACCTTAACATCTTTCTTTCCAACAGTAATTCATGCCACTCTAGCCCTTCTTTCTATAGGATTGTAACCACACTGTAATTTTCTTGTTTTCCAACCTAGTAAGTACTTTCCATTGCCATCACATTCGGATTGCATAGATTATTCCCTGTGCCTTGAGGAAATGCACTTTGTACTATGACTTCCTATACTAGATGGAAGTTGCACAGAACAATAGTTTGTAATCTGTGTGCATCCTTTTTTATTCTGTACTGCTTCATTTTCCCCCCAAAATGCTGGTTGGAACTCACTGAATTTATTCCCGACTGACAACCTATAGTTTGATGAATACATCCTCCAGTTATTCTCTATCAGTCCCTGTCTGCTTCTGTCATAACACTTATGAGTTCATTATTTTGTCATATTTTACTTATTTTGGTGTATGTTATAAGTGTCATGAAGACAGAGAGCATGTTTTCTTCACTGTTTTTCCCCCAGATCAGAAAAGTGCCTGAAATATACATGTTGGGATGTAATATAAACTTTTCAGCTTCTCCAAATGAGTTCATAATTTTAAAACTGTGAGATGACATGGTAAAAGTGCAAAGAATTCAAACTCCAGTCCTTTCATTAATGTAACAGATTTACTCTTGGCAGCTTTTAATTAATCTGTCGGCTATCAGATGATGGTATTGATTTCTAGTTTATTGCAAGGGTTGATGATGATGATAATGGAATACCTTACTTGTACCATGCAGTGTTTTGCTGAACTTTACAGGGCTACTAATAAGCTTTAATGATGTAATATTAACACAGAGGGCTTAGTGTTGAAAACTGTGAAGAGTTTGTGATTTTACCCTACAAGTTAGTCAGCCACAGTTCATGGACGGTGGCAGATAACATAAGAGCCCTGAGAGAAAGAAAAGGATTACATTATTTCATTATTCCCAGCAAAAGTAGCAGCCAGAGCATCAACATTTTCTTGTGTGGATTCCCCAAGCTCCAGCTCTTCCAGAGGGCCTGTGCAGAGGGTCAGACGACGTGTATTCCATAGGAGCAGACCCTGAGACTTCTGTAATGACAGCAGGCCTGTCCCGCTTTATTCTGATGTGCAGCACTGTTTTCGTCTCACAGAGCTGTTTGTTATACAAACATCCTTGAAAAGATGGTCCAGGACAAGGAGCAGTTTGGGTTTTGCATAAGACTTGCAGAAACTTACAGTCCCATAGAGATTTGTCTCCCAACCCTCAGCTAGTGGTATCCAGATGAGGTGTTCAATACTTGATATAAGAACCCAATTAAACAACCCAACCAACCTGGGCCCCTGGCAACAATAACCCCACTTCATAGAGGAGGTCACTTAGACTCAAGAAGATGGAGAGAATAAAGTCACAGAGCTACAGAACTGTGGAGTTCAGTGACTAACCAACCCGACTGACTCAAAACACAAACTGTTTGGATTCTGTAGAATGACCTTGGTAAAATGTTCAGCGCTCTCTCTGGCTCAGAAACATAATGACACAGTATAGAGTTGTTTCCCTTTCTCACTTGCTTTTCCTTTAGGTTTTGATGTTGAGGATAAATTAAGCTAGTTCATTTTAATTCCTTTTAGTTTTGAAGCAATTTCAAACTTATGGAAAAGTTGTAAGAGTAGTAGAGAGAACTCCATATACCCTTTTTCCAGATTCACCAATAAATGTGTTACACATTTGCTTCATCATTATCTTTATATCTGTATGATCTGTTTTGCTGTATCATTTGAGAGTAGGTTTCATAAATTATACTCCTGAACCTCCTAATACCCAATTGTTTACTTCTAAGTACAAGGCTTACCTTAGATAACCACAGTTCAGTTACTAGATTCATATCACACTGATAGACTTTTTCTAAAATTTAATTTACAGTCCATCCCAGTTTTCTTGATGTTTTTCAATAGCCTTTTTTTTTCAGTATAGGCTCACCGCATTCCACTGTTATGTGAGTGTCACATTTTAAAGAGCTTAAGCTCCCCTCCTCATTAATTTATTATCTATTGAATATATAAACTGATAGAGGAGATACACTGATACAGTGAATAGAAGACACGGCTGCCTGACTGCTGAGGAGTTGTGTTGTCGGATCTCATGTGTGACCTCAAGGAGCCGTTAAGCCTGTCCAGTTGTTGTCCTCTAGTCCTGAGCTGGAGTATCTCCCCAACATAAATTTTGCAGCTTAGGACTGATAATTTGGAAAGATACTCACACATTCGGGTGAACCACAGCAACGACTGTATTATCTAAGTGTGTACTTTGCTTCCAATCTATTCTCACGGGCTCACCAGCGTTCAGTTCAGCTTCAAACCGCAAGTTCTATAAGAGCCATGCTAAATTCTTTCATTATAAAATAACTGCAGGTAACTTACTGTCAAATCATTTGGGAAGTTCTTTTTTGATTTAAGTCATACCTTTGACTATGCCAAAACCTTTGACTGTGTGGATCACAACAAACTGTGGAAAATTCTTCAAGAGATGGGAATACCAGACCACCTGACCTGCCTCATGAGAAATCTGTATGCAGGTCAGGAAGCAGCAGTTAGAACTGGACATGGAAAAACAGGCTAGTTCCAAATAGGGAAGGGAGTACATCAAGGCTGTATATTGTCATTCTGGTTATTTAACTTATAGGCAGAGTGCATCATGAGAAACGCTGGGCTGGATAAAGCACAAGCTGGAATCAAGATTGCCAGGAGAAATATCAATAACCTCAGATATGCAGATGACACCACCCTTATGGCAGAAAGTGAAGAGGAACTAAAGAGCTTCTTGATGAAAGTGAAAGAGGAGGAGGACANTCCTAAAGGAAATCAGTCCTGAATATTCATTGGAAGGACTGATGCTGAAGCTGAAACTCCAATACTTTGGCCACCTGATGAGAAGAGCTGGCTCATTGGAAAAGACCCTGATACTGGGAAAGATTGAAGGCTGGAGGAGAAGGGGACGACAGAGGATGAGATGGTTGGATGGCATCACTGACTCAATGGACATGAGTTTGAGTAAACTCTAGGAGTTGCTAATGGACAGGGAGTCCTGGTGTGCTGCAGTCTGTGGGGTTGCAAAGAGTCAGACATGACTGAGTGACTGAACTGAACTGAAGTTTCAGTTGATACCTTGTTTGCTGACTATTTGGGTCTTTGAACTAGTTCTGACTGAAGAAAATTGGCAGATATGGGAATACCGGTGCACTGGCTCTTGCTGGCAAACATACACCAGGGATCTGGTTATATTAGAATCAGAAATGAGGAATAACCAAGGATAATTGATAGTTTAATTCAGAATCTGGAAAAATGATTGATCACCTTTTAAGAATTTTGAAAGTCATTGCGTTGTAGACTGTTATCTGGATAAAAATATAGAACTAATTTTCATAAGGTATCAGTTCTGCCACCCTATGTGTTTGGTTGCTAAAGCATAAGGATCTTTTTTTCATCAGCTCAATTAGGATTTTTTATGTGGTTACTGGAAATTTTGATCTTGAACCTGGCAAGTTAAACTCCTAACTGAATTTCAAGTCATGTAGACCAGCCACACTGATGGTCTATTTTTGACTCTGTTCAGTTCTTGAAGATCAGACATGGGGCTTGTGTGTGCCTGTGTGTAAGGGAAACAGATTGTTGAGAACTGCCCTCAAGCTGATTGTCTTTTTCATGCCAGATATCCTGGGAGCCAGGTTCTGTTACATTAGAATCTTTGACTTTAGGTTGCCAAATCCAAGGCTTAGAATTGTACCTGGCACATTGTAAGCATTCAGTAGGTGTTAGCATTACTGTGTTATACATGAGAATTTCTGGTGATA